ATATATATATATATATATAAATGTAATCATATTTTTCTTATATTGATTTAAAAAAAAATAATCTAGCAACTAAATAAGCTTTTACAGTTTGATATTTGATAGAAAATCTACATTTTTCTCAGGAGGAGAAGAAAAAAAGTCTGCTGTCTCTTACTATTGATTGGTTTTGGTGAAATTTCTATTGTATATATAGCTGATTAAATTCTTATGCCTTTTCCATTTTGCTGTGAAGTCGCATTTAAATGAAATCTAAATTATATTTTTTAGAATTGTGTTTTATAGCATGAAAACAGCATCTTAGTGTAGTTCCATGCAAGAATACTTCTAAGAATGTATAAATCATATAGTAACTGAAATATATAACAACCTAAAAATGAATAATTAATATTCATTTTTAGGTTGTAATCTATTTCAGTTATCTGATCTATACATTAGAAAAAATATTCTTGCATGGAACTGCACTACAATCACACTATCTGTTTCAAACAGCGTGGTTGACTGAAATGACTCTCACTCTTCAAAGATGTTGCTTGCCCCCAGGTTCTCCATTAGCATGCAGAAGTGTTTCTCCTCGTCATCCTCTCCCCTGCTGAGTCTCTCCTCCCATTGGCTCTCATAGAGCACTTCCGGAGTCTTTCCTGAGACCGGCTGCTCGTCTGCATGTGGATCTACTGACACCACACCTGGACCAAACATAAATTCACCTGAATGGGAGACATAAATACATTAGCAAACTTTTAAATGATACAGACGACACAAAATACAACATAAAATATCAATCATATGTTTTAATAATCAATTTCGTTTTAAATTATTTTTCTAAATGCTGTATAGATTCAAATGCAAACGCACTAAAGCCGGAGGAGAACTCCTCAAAGGTCAGATATCCGTTGGCATCTGCGTCCAGAGTATCAAAGACATTCTCAAGTTCCTCAGCACTCTGAGGAAGCTCTCCATTTAACCTCTACAACACATGACAAATGATACAGACATGTTATGAAAAGCATATTGCATCACCTGAAAATAAGCAAATTATATATATATATATATATACACACACACACTGTATATGTATATTACACACAAACAAACAAACACACACACACACACGAGATATATATATATATATATAATATATAATTATCTTTACAGTTAGTCCACAAGTTATACATGCTGTACATAAATAAAACAAATATATTTAATTGGTCTCACAAGGTAAATCAAAACTCACAAAACATTTTTATGAGGCAACTGAATGTCACTACAAAACCAAACTCAACCACAAATTCTCTCATCTTTTGCCAGGTTGTGTCATGAGTAAGGTCTCAAACTAGGTTGACGTTTAACACCTTTAAAAATCACTCAGGCTGTAGATTTCAGTGATCAACCCAGTTAACACACAGTAAGAATGCTACTATTCTTAGAGAGCAAATAACACACCCTGTGTGGGAACCTGACACATGTTTGCTCAGATATACTCTGGGACCAGATGTCCCATAAAACACTACATACTGTATAATTCTATGTGTGACTTTAGCATGGACTTTTGGCTTTTCTGTACTTGTAAAAGTCAGTTGTAAAAGCTAACGGACATGTGAAAACATTTGCGTAAAAATGAGCACAAACTGCGAGCCATCACCCAGTTCCTCGGGTAAACCAAAGTGACAGCTTCTAAAAACGGTAATAAAACTCCTCCTGTGGCTTGAAGGTTTGAAGGTTTAGAAAATGCAGCTCTTTGAAACCCCAATAGTGTTGTCAGCATTTTCTGCCAGACCAATATGTGGTGGACCCATGATGCAAGTTACTTTGCCAAAGACGTAAATGTTTTGTCTCAGTCTTCACAATAGCATATATACAATCATTTAACAGAAAGTTAAATATGTATGGATTTATAGGATATATTTAATCCAAATGGGTTGAAATAACAAAAGGCATCATTTAAATATAGATGAGGAACCAATGTTTATTAATGCTTTTTCTACAGACACTGGATCAAAGGTGTGATGCTTTTGAAAAAGGCTCTTCAGAGAAAGGCCCGATAGCCAGACTTCAAAGGAAACCTGTGCAATGAATGGAAAATCTAAGAGGTGATCGAATCTGCACAATAATACAACTGAAGGGGTGGTTTCAAAATGCCCACCACAATTTTAGGATGGTCTCACAAGCTCCTCCGATTGTGACACTCCGCAAAAAGAGGCTGTACTGAAATATTTCGTATAAATCAACCACATTTATGGATGATTGATGGATCACACACACTATGACCAATTGGTGGAACTGAAAATACATAAATAAAATTGGGTAGTGGTACCATGGTACAATGATGGTATCTGATGCCATATCATGGTATTTTAATACAAAGTATATGAGGCTATTTAATTATTACTGTAGTAATGTATGTAGGTATTTACATGACTACTTTACAAGTCCACAAAAAAATCATTAAAAAAAATGAAATCAAAAATAAATATTAATACACTGACATTTTTTTTTATAAATTTTGCAGGGGAAAAATAAAGACATAACATACGGTTCTGTTAGTTCACACAGACCTTGCAGAAACAGCAAAATGTTAATTATTTTACCAAAATAAGAGGGATCGTATATATATATATATACATTCATTTAAATATGTAATTTAAAAAAAAGAATTACATAGTGATAAAATTCACTCCCAAGCAGCAACTTTTAGATGATCAAATATTTTAGAGCTTAAAATAATTAGAAAAATATTTATTCACTATAGTAATTTTCATAAATTATTTTATTATTTTTTGATTCATAATTTGTTACTGAACATTACAATTTAAAAAAATCCTGATATTTTCAGGTTTTTCATGACAGTGGGAAGGAACTCTGGGGAAAAAAAGAATAGAGCTTCAGTACAGAAGCATGTTGTAGCCTACTAACTTTACTTTTCCACAATAAATTGGCAATTAGATATTTAACAAACTATGCCTTTAATTGGGTTTTTTTTGTAAGTTAATTACTTTATTCAGATTACTGCTTGTCTTCTGTTGTAAGTAAACAATTTATAAGTGTGAGCAAACACAAATTAGCTCAATTAGCTCATGGTTTGTAGATGAAACAATGCCAGGAAAACCAGATGACTTGAGACATTTTGTGGGGTTTTCATTCATCTTTACCAATAAAACTCCAGGTCTAATGACAAATCACATGGACGTCCTTTTCCCAACATCCTTACCTGCATGTCCCGTCGTGTAATGAAGCCTTTGCCCTCGATGTCACAAATCTGGAAGAACTCTCTGGTCTTCTCAAGCACAGCACTGCAGTCAGTGTTACTGGGTGTCCCCTGTCTGTCTTCTCCTCTACGATGGGACGCCCGGTCCACCTTAGAGCCACAGGTGCTGGAGAAAGACGCCATGCCGTCCATGTGTGTGTTTGTGTGTGCGTATGTATGTGTGTGTGAACTCCACTCTCCTCACATGGGTCAGCCCTTGACAGAAGAGAAGAGAGAACAAAGCTTTTGAGTAACACCACATCACATCCTCTTAGCCATCTCTTAGCAACCACCTCTTTAATTAGACAGCGAGAGCACTGAGAATGGTGCGGGAAAAGAAACCGCTTAAAAAATGTGTGGAAGATAGAGAAAGCATCAAGAGAATATTCAAAAAGGTTATTCGAGTACAGATGGTCATAAGCTGTCCATTTTCTGAATTCAGAGAAAGCATCATCGCATTTACAGCCCATTACGTGTGTCAAACTGCCATAAATCCCTTTATTGACAGTTAATGATATTAAAGAGGGGAAACCACAGAGAGATCTGCTAGGGATAGGAATATATACTACTGTTCAAAAGTTTGGAGTCATTAAAATCTTATTTATTTATTTTTTAAAGAAATCTAAACTTTTGCTTTTATTCCGCAAAAGTGCATCAAACAGATCAAAAGTGACAGTAAAAATTTTTTTACAAAAAAAAGCTTTCTATTCATCAAAGATATGTATTTAAAAAAAAAAAAAAACATACTATAACAAACATATAACATAACATAATATTTCTGTTATGTATTTATTTATACATATTTGCACATAAGAAACTTCTTTCAAAAACAAATTATGGTAGGTAAGACTGCATGTGTTTGCCAGGGTGTTTCTATGTAGTTGCTAAGGTGTTCAGAGTGGCTGTTAACATGTTGCCATGCTGTAGTTTACTGGGCCAAGTCAAATAATCCCACCTCAATATGATATTCCAATCCCTAGTATGTCTCGGTCCTTAGACAGCTAGTTGGATAAAGCCAGCTGTGCCCATAGATCAGGGGTGTCAATCTCAATTCCTGGAGGGCCGGAGCCCTGCAGAGTTTTGTTCAAACCCTGCTCCAACACACATACTATGTAGTTTTCAAATAAGCCCGAAGGACTTGATTAGTTGGATCAGGTGTGTTTAATTAGGGTTGAATCTAAACTCTGCAGGGCTCCGGCCCTCCAGGAATTGAGTTTAACACCCAGTACATAGATGTACTCTCAAAAATCATCTTTGAATGACAAATCATTGTAAAAAGAAAGATTTTCAATCAAAGAATCCTCTATAAACCAAAAGGTTCCATGCATCTCTAAGTCTTAGCCACTTTAGTGTGTTCTTAGTCACTAACAACTTAAAAAAATGCTAAGCAGCTTGGTAAGGTACTTTGATGTAAGATGAAGCAAGCAGATGAAGCAGAAGAAATACATTTATGGTGATGATCGCACCTTTAGGTTTCTTGGCAGATGTGTTGATTAAAACTTTTGTTTGCCTGTCATAACAGCCTGAATGTGTGCAATATTGCTTTCCTTTGTCTAACAAGAAAAATCAAATTTTCTTTGCATTTCTGCTGCACAAAAGTAGTTTCAAAGTTTGTAAAGCCCATTAGCCTGCAAAGTATCACATCTCACTGACAACTTTTCTGTGTCAGCTCTTTGATTGCCTACAAATTGAGTTAGCTGGCTGTAATATTGCAGGTAAGTTTTTGGAAGGCAGTCAGCTATATTCTACAATTACAGTATGTTTGTGTTTAAAAATGTGCAAGCAAAAATGTTTTTATGCTTATATTTTTACGGTGGTCAGAGACTCATGATAAGTTATCTAGGTTTCATATTGAATTGATTGAATATTTGTTTTTTTCTGTCCTTTATTTTGAAATGCATAATACAGGTGCATCTCAGTAAATTAGAATGTCGTGGAAAAGTTCATTTATTTCAGTAATTCAACTCAATGTAGCGTCTGTACCAATCCAACAATTCACTAAAAAATTTTTTTTTATTGGTCTTATGGAGTATTCTAATTTGTTGAGATAGTGAGTTGGTGGGTTTTTGTTAAATGTGAGCCAAAATCATCACAATTAAAAGAACCAAAGACTTAAACTACTTCAGTCTGTGTGCACTGAATTTATTTAATACACGAGTTTCACAATTTGAGTTGAATTACTGAAATAAATGAACTTTTCCACGACATTCTAATTTATTGAGATGCACCTGTATTATATTTGAAATGTGAATTTTACAAAAAAAAAGTTTATTAGATATAAGTAAAGCTATATTTTTACAAATATTAGAGGTAATTGCCTATTGTTAAATTTCAGTCCATTAATACTTTGAAGTAAATAATTTAAAGCACTAAAGTAAAGATCTATTAAATAATATGTCTGTGTCTGTACAATGTACTTCTGTACTTGTAATGTATTTCTTTAGTATACTATACATATCTATTCTAGGGCTGTCAATTGATTATTATTTAATCGCTATTAATCGCATGATTGCCATGAGTTAACTCGTGATTAATCACAATTTAATCGCACATTTTTATCTGTTCTAAATGTACCTTAAATTAATACTTTTCAAGTTTTTAATACTCTAATCAACATGGGCATGGACAAATATGGATGCTTTATGCAAATGTATGTTTATTATTAGTGAAACCATACTCAACATAGAACATGAAGACTAGACATGTTTCAAAGGTCATAGATGTTTTTCAAAAAACTTGTTCATGTGTATTAGACACATGAAAAAAGAACAGAAATACCAAGTTCCCATTACTGCACTGAGCAATTTATTTACACAAGCCTGTTTACATTTTCACAGGACAGGGCAGCTCACTTTTTCTGAACAAGTAAAATGTACATTTATTATTTATTATTAATCTCTGTGCCCACATACTGTATTTTGATGCAGTTAAATTCTCAATAAAACTGTTTTCATTTATATATTTTCAGAGGCGGACAAAGTACTCAACTCCATTACTTGAATGAAAGTACAGATACTGCTGGTCAAATATTACTCCATTACAAGTAAAAGTTGTAAAGACAGATTTTTACTTAAGTAAAAGTACAGAAGTACTTGCTTTTAAAAGTACTTAAGTACCAAAAGTAAATTTCCTTTTTTATGTCAATGCACTGTTTTATTGTTGTACGTAATACTTGCAATACTTCTGAAGCAACTTAGAATACATTACACCTACTGAATACAGTACAGTGAAATCCTGTAAATACAGAGTGATAAGGAAGATGCTTTAACAAGAAAGCAAAACAGCAAGACTTATTTGACATCAAAACAAAAATTTTAAAAATGCTGTCTAATCGCTCTCATGGTACTTTGATGTCATACACAGAATGGTCTGTGCAGTGCTGCTTCAGTCAAACACCTTTTGTGTTTTATTAGTAGACGTACAACAGTTCTTCTGTGGCTTTATAGGTAATATTTTCACGTACACAATTTAGCAAAATCAGACAATATTGTGTCTAATATATACCACAATATTAACTTCTTATTATTGAATTGTTGTAAATAAATATCACATTTGGAACTGGTCAGTGTTCAAAAAATGCTGGGAAATCTTTTCATGTAGCCCTACAGGAGTGATTACTGATAAACTGTCTGAAAAAGAAAGAAAGTCACGTTATAGAGAAGAAAAAAATCACCCACTGACTTTCAAAGCTGCTACATAGTAACGACTTTCTACTTCGAGGACCTTGATAGAAATGTAGTGGAGTGAAAAGTACAATATTTGTCTTTCAAATGTAGTGAAGTTAAAGTCATAAGTTTCCAGAAAAAAAATATACTCAAGTAAAGTACAGATACTCAAAAAGTGTACTTAGTTACTGTCCGCCTCTGTATATTTTACTGTTTCTGTTGTCCCATTAAGACTACATAACCAGCTCTCCCTTCCAAGAAGTTTATCTGAACAAGAATCCTGATTTATAATCGAGCCGTCGTCTGATGAGATCAAAAACACATAAGATAAAGACAATAGCTGTGCAGTCGGCTATAATTGCATGTAAAATTAGAGAAGCAACATAATATCTGTTTACTGAAAGAGCGTTGCTCCTCTCAGCCGCTCGATGAACAGAGCAGACGCAGATAGAGGTGTGCGCGCTGGGAAAGAAAGACCTCGCGGACTAAGGTTTAGGCAAACCCTAAAGATTTGAACATATGTCATGCCTCTCCCAAACTTTTCAAAATGAACTTTATGGCTGAATCAACCCCTACAAAAGTTGTGGCACTTGCATACAACATCTGAATTTCATCAGGGTCTTGTTGGAAAAAAAAAAACACACCTGAAAAAAAAAAAAAA